TCAGCATCGGACCTGCGGCAACGCTGGAAGAGGATTGTGAGGAAGAAGAGTCAGAGGAGGAATGTGGCTTTGAGAAGGAGGAGGAAGACCAACCACAACAGGCATCTCAGGGTGCTCATTGTCACCTATCTGGTACCCATGGTGTTGTACGTGGCTGGGGGGAAGAACATACCTTCAGTGAGATAACTGAGGACGAGGAACAGGACATGAGTAGCTCAGCATCCAACCTTGTGCAAATGGGGTCTTTCATGCTGTCGTGCCTGTTGAGGGACCCTCGTATAAAAAGGCTGAAGGAGAACGACCTGTACTGGGTGTCCACACTACTAGACCCCCGGTATAAGCAGAAAGTGCCTGAAATGTTACCGAATTACGGCAAGTCGGAAATGATGCAGCATTTCCAAAATCAATTAAAAAGTATGCTTTACACAGCGTATAAGGGTGATGTCACAGCACAATGGGAATCTAACAGGGGAAGAGGTGAAAGTAATCCTCCTCCTCCCACGACCACGCCAGCAAGGACAGGACGCTTTACAGATGTGTTGTTGATGGAGGACATGCGGAGCTTTTTAAGTCCTACGCATCACCACAGCCCTTCGGGGTCCACCCTCAGAGAACGACTCGACCGACAGGTAGCAGACTACCTCGCCTTAACTGCAGATATTGACACTCTGAGGAGCGATGAACCCCTTGACTACTGGGTGTTCAGGCTTGACCTGTGGCCTGAGCTATCCCAATTTGCGATAGAGCTTCTGGCCTGCCCCGCTTCAAGTGTCCTGTCAGAAAGGACCTTCAGTGCAGCAGGAGGTATTGTCACTGAGAAGAGAAGTCGCCTAGGTCAAAAAAGTCTAGATTACCTCACCTTTATTAAGATGAATGAGGGATGGATCCCGAAGGGACTGACAGTGGGCGATACATTCAACTAAAAAAGGCCTGATGAGGGGGACGTTACACGGTGTCGTGGCTGCCGGCCCGCCGCGTGATATTTAAATCCCTAGCTCACCCCAGTACCTTGCCCTGTCGTGGTTTCCTGTTCCTGGTTCCTGAGAGTGCTTTATGATTGTGAATCTGATTTCCTGGTATCCTGATCTTGGCTTTTCCCTGGTTATTCTGAATTCTGGTTTCCCTGACTTGGCTTGTGTAAACGGTATTGTGTATTTTCTGGCTTCCTTTACCTCAGCTTTCCCTTTGACCATTCTCTGTCTCTAGCGTATTAGTCCGGCCATTCTAAGGTCCGGTTTACGCTCCTTTTATTTTCCTTTTCTTGCCTATGTATATGTTTACATAGTTTCTGCATGCTGGACCACACTAGTAGTCCTGACATTGGGATTAAACTGATAAGAATAGTACTACTTAACACACCACTCCTATCTGGTGGCACATTAGTTGCACGCGCAGTGCCCAAAATTTGAAGAAGGAGGACCGACCAAGCATCTTTTTCCATCTCCCGGTTCCTAAAATCTATGCCATATACACGTCCCCTGATAGGGGACGTAACAGGGATTAAACTGATAAGAATAGTACTACTTAACACACCACTCCTATCTGGTGGCACATTAGATTGCACGCGCAGTGCCTCAAATTTGAAGTAGGAGGACCGACCAAGCAGCTTTTTCCGTTTCCCGGTTCCTAAAATCGATGCCATATACACGTCCTCGATAGGGGACTTAACAGGGATTAAACTGATAGGAATTAGTACTACTTAACACACCTTATAATAACGCAGGGAGAGGCAACGCAGAGAGAGGAGTCTGAAGAAGAGGAGTCAGAGGAGGAAGGTGGCTTTGAGGAGGTGGAAGACCAAACACAGCAGGCTTCCCAGGGGGCTTGTTGTCACCTTTTGGGGACCTTTGGTGTTGTACGTGGCTGGGTGGAGGAAGAGACCTTCAATGACATCAGTGAGGACAAGGAACGGGACATGGCTAGCTTGGTATCCAACCTTGTGCAAATGGACTGTTTGCGGTTGTTTGCGGTGCGTTAAACGGGGAGGTTGGTCTGTCACTGTGAAGTGGGTGTAACCCTTACACTACCTGATTGATACAACATCATACCTGATGTTTTAAAGCACGTTATTCCAAACAATTTAGGAATGTTAGGTGATTTATGCCCTTTATGGATTAAAACCAGACTCTGCATCAACTATGTAATTTTCCATGGGAGTTTTGCCATGGATCTCCCTCCGGCATGCCACAGTCCAGGTGTTAGTCCCCTTGAAACAACTTTTCCATCACTATTGTGGCCAGAAAGAGTCCCTCTGGGTTTTAAAATTCGCCTGCCTATTGAAGTCTATGGCGGTTCGCCCGTTCACCGTTCGCGAACCGAAAATTTTATATTCGCGACATCACTATTTACAACCAGTAAGCCACTGGCCGAGAACAAGTTGGTAGGCCCCACCACCAGACTAACCTTCTTAGGTATTGACCAAGACTCAGCAGCCATGCAAGCTAGCCTGCCAACTGACAAAATTCAGAGAATCAAGGCAGAAGTTGAGTCATTCCTCAATAGAGGAATTACCTCCCGGAAGAACCTGCAATCACTCCTGGGTTCTCTGAACTTCGCCATGAAATGCATGGCCAAACAAGGCACTAAAACTGCCTGCATTCAACAAAACTTCTGCACTGTTTGAGATCTACCTTATAGTGGCAGCAGCAAAAGTCTGGGGCCATTTATGGGAAGGTAAATCTGTCAAGGGCATACAGACACTATAGTGGCTTGTGAAATTTTAAACAAAGGCAGGTCATCTTTCCTCATGAGTCTGGTCAGGAGACTCACATGGTTGGCAGCCACACAAAACTTTTATCTAAATTGTATACACGTACCAGGTCACCACAATACAGAAGCTGATGCACTGTCCCATTCAAATTTTCAGGTTTTTAGTCAACTACTCCCAACAGCAGAGGAACTACCACACAAGACACTGCCAATACTAATGGTGCACGGGAGAGCACTAGTACAAGCCACACTATCTGTGACACTCATACAACCAAGCTCTAACATTCTAGTTTCGATACTATGGTGGCATTCACCTATTTTTGCCACCTCAACCGAATACTCGCCCATAACACTATAAAACTCTATTTAACAGGGATACAGCATCATTTAAGCAACACATATCCCAGTAATAAAACTTTCATGTTGGCACACCCCATTAAAAATATTCTAAGAGGCATTCAATGTCTAGAAAACCCTAAACCTACCAAACGGCAACCCATAGATGCCGAAAAATTCAGGGCACTATCCGACATGCTAGACACCAAACCATTCGAAACCCACACAAACAATACGATCAAAACAGCGATATACCTGGCATTTTATGGGTTTTTGCGACCCAATGAACTCACCAAACATCAAAGACAAGTCAAACATGCTATGCATTTCACATCTAAACAAAATAGGAGATCACTACGCATTGTTATTATGACATTCCAAAACCAATCAAATGGGTCCACCCCTCGACATTCAATTATACCCAACCGATTAAGTGGTGCCCTGTACTAGTACTTAACAAATTCATGTCATCCATCACAGATCAACCAAAACAAGCTCCTCTCCTTAACTTACACGGTCACCCACTAACTACCTCCAAATTCATCAAGTGCTTAATTAAATATGTTATATGTCATAAGAATAGGGTGCGATCCCGCGGCATTCACCGGCCACTCATTTAGAATTGGAGCAGCAACCTCAGCCTCTAGCTAAAACGTACCGGTGCACATCATCAAAAAACTAGGCAGGTGGAAATCATCGGCATATAACCGTTACATACCTCAACCTGAGGAGGAGTTAATACAGGCATTTAAACAATTAGCTAAATAAGATCTCATTTGTAACAGAATGTATATGTATACGTATTAAAGCATGGTATTGATAATTCTCTTTTTGCCCTCTTCATTTACAGGCCTCCCCATACGTCGGTTTCTGCACACCACAACCAACTTAGCATATTATACTTTACGGTTATAAGATATAGGTCCACACATACATGGCTTTCTTCCCTGACCACAAGTACCATTTATGAGTTGAATCACTCTCCTTATTGCACAGTGTGTTTAATTTAGAATGTATCTCCTGTTCTGTTATTTTCCTGCTAGAGGTTGTAGCAGCTTCATGTGTGTGATTACAGTAAAACGAACAAAGCAGGATGGAATGTAAACAGAAAGTGCTCTGAAAATGAAAGCTTTTTTATTGAGATTGTGTGAGTCACATCCAGGCTAGGTCTTCATAAACAAAATTACTAAACTTCTAAATGGCAGAGAATTTAACAGTGACACTTCAGGGGTTTGATTTTTACAAAACAATTGCTACATTGAGCTAACGTTGTTTTAGTGCTTAGCATACCCATTAAGCAAATAAGTTACAAAAATAACCACAGGTAGACAAATTAATATGGCATTTTAAGTTTGAGGAAATATACAGAGTTGAAATAGCAGCTTCAGTGAACTATATCTCTCAATATAACTAAAACAGACATTAAGTGAGGCATCTTTTTTTCTATGTTAAAAGGATTCAATGGAAATGCATTAAAATTGAGATTATGATTGAGAGGTCAACTTGGTATTAACGATGCATAATTATTAATCCAAAACACACAGACTGATAAATTAGGAAAAATCATAAAGCTTTGTATATTTCCAATCCGTTAAAAAAAATATGTTCTAAGAGGTGGCTGAGGCTTGATATGGTAGCAGACCTGAAATCACTCTTTTCCTAATTATGTCATCTTGACAGCAATATCTGAAGGACATACTCCACATCTCACAGACCTGAATTTTGAAGTCCAATTTTCAATACCATTTTCTGTGACTGGAATATAACAGACATAGCCAAACTGTCAACGGCTCTTTAGATGGTGCAATGTGGCTTGCAAAACTTTTCAGGGATGGCGCTACCAAAAGGTGGCATAAACGGCCCAGGGAGTGCAGGATCCGGCTGACTGGTAAGAGGGGAGTGCACTGCACAGCCCTCCTCTACCGCTGGTCATTCCTTGTAGCGTGGCTGAGCCATGAACTGCAGTCGAGGAGCTTGTTTCCCTCTACCTGGTCTGACAGGAAGTGCATGCACTGTGAGCACTGAACTGCAACCTGTCAGACTGAGTGGAGGGAAACGAGCACCTCTAAAGCGGTCCGCAACTCGGCTACACTACATGTGGGATGTAAGCTGGCACATGTGGGGAAGGGAAGAAAAGACATTTTGGGGGTGGGGAGGAAATGAGACACATGGGGGAACTGGGAGAATGAGACACATGGGGAGGGCTGGGGTAATGAGAGACATGGGGGCTAGGGTAATGAGACACATGGGAGACTGGGGGATATAGACACATGGTGGACTGACACATACAGTCAAATGCACACAGTCTCACAGACATGATCACAGCATAACACACAGTCTCAGGCACATAGTCACACACACAGACACAGTTACAAGCACACAGTGACACATCTCTGTGACTCTGTTGTGTGTTTAAGCAGGCTATTAACAGAGCAGGAGATAAAAACATGTCTAAATTAAACACAATGTGTTATAAGGGAAGCTAAAAAATGTATAGAGTGTAGGGAGGATGTGTGAGTCTCAATCATGGGATGTGTGGCTAATGCTGCATAATAAAGCAATTTAACTCCTAAATTACATTGAATTGAGCAGTGACTGCAGGGACATGATCTATAACCGAAAACCACTTAATTCAGCTATTTTGGTTCTTTCTGTGACCATTTAAGCATAATGTTGTAGTGTACAGTCACTTTCAGGCAATCCTTGTAGGTAACTTAACTTTCTCTTCTTCATCAAATATTCAGTGCTCGATGATGTACTTACAGTATTCATATTTTTACAGACCTTTTCAATGAATCTACACTGAAGAGTCTTCTTCATCTTATTATAAAGATCACAGTTCTTATTTTCTAGTTTGCTGGGCTAAATAGTACTCTGGAATTCTCTGAATATACCATTTATAACAGTTCATGTAACTTCCGTGTATGCTTTATTAATCATAGTAATTTTCTTTGGCATGTGACACATTTGACACTGCTGAAAAATCATGTCTAGCCGTCTCATTGGGCTTCACCCTTCTTTTTTTAACTATTGATCAGTTGTTGACTATTTTTGGCTCTTTTATACTCCCATAATACATTATACATTTACTCTTAACTGTTAAGCTGGTGCTGCAAAATCAAGGTGTAATACAATAAATGTATGTTCTGAATGTGAATTCTGTTTGTATATCTGTCTTAGCATACAATGTACTTAAACGTGTATATCCTTCATTCAACTGCACATGCAAACAAAAAAATTCTGTTCTTGTAACTTAATTGTATGGTTATTTATTTTTTAATTTATAAAATATAATTATAAAATAAATAAGGTATTAGTAATACAAAACATACACATGCAAAATGTGTTGAAAATTTGTTGAAACTCAATTTTGTGCAGTATGAGTGTAAATAGAAGTAACTTAATAGTAGAGGGTTATAACAGACAAGCAGCCATAACATTTAAAGAGAGATCAACCTTGTTTATACTAGAGTGTAAACATGTCTTAAAAATGTTAAAAGGTAAGGTTTTTAAATAATGGGATACAGTACTCACCAGAACCACTAAAGCTCAATATAATGGTTCTGGTGTCTATAGCATGTCCCTGCAGGCTGAGCAATGAAAATGTTTATATTGCTGCCTAGTAATACCTCTAGTGACAGTAACTCAGACGACCACTAGCGTTGCTTCCTATTTCAGTTCTGCATTGTGCTCAGCACCTACATTCAGCGTCTCCACGCTGTACATGGAGACGCTGTACGTCCCCATAAAGATGCATTGAGTCAATGCATTACTATGAGGAGAAGCTGAATGGCACAGCGTGACATTTTGCCTGGCATGCGCAATAGCCTGAAAGCATTGGATTGACTGAGATCAGGGCCGGCCTTAGGCCTTTAGATGCGCTGTGTGAAAAATCTTCAAAGCCCCTCCCCCCCCGTCATCCGTGTATGATGTAATGTTTGTGTTGTATGTGATAGGTGTGATGACTATGTGTGATATCCGTAATGGGTGTATTAACTGTGTGTGATATGCGTGTATTGGCTGTATGTGATATTTGTGCTGGGTTTATTGGCTGTGTGTGATGGGTATTTAATTCAGATAAAATGATGCATTTAGGCCTGTGTGTGAATGCAGGTGTATATTTTTACAGAGTTATGTGAACTTGGTCCCACAGTCAGATGCACACAGTTATACATATACACTGTCAAAGACACCACATGCACATAGTCGCGGGCAGATAATCACATACACAGGATCAGGCATAAACACACAGGTACAGGCAGTAACACACATACACAGTTACAGGTAGATAAACACACTCACACACAATTACAGGCAGACAGCCACACACACACACACAGACAGACAGCCACACATACAGTCTTACACACACATACTTACATGCAGACAGTCACACTCACACACACGCAGCCACACACACATACACACATAGGCAGACAGTCACACACACACAGGCAGACAGTCACACACACAGAGGCAGGCGGCCATACACACAGAGGCAGGCAGCCAAACACACACAGGCAGACAGCCACACAAACACACAGAGGCAGACAGCCACACAGAGGCAGGCAGTCACACACACACTGAGGCAGACAGTCACACACAGAGGCAGACGGCCATACACAGAGGCAGGCGGCCATACACACACAGGCGACACAAACACACACACAGGCAGCGTCACACACACACAGAGGCAGGTGGCCATACACACAGAGGCAGATGGCCACACACACACAGGCAGACAACCCGCCCCCCCACACACACACTGGCAGACAGCCCCCCACACACACAGGCAGACAGCCAACCCCAACATACACACAGGCAGACAGTCACACACACACACACACACAGGCAGACAGTCACACACACAGAGGCAGGTGGCCATACACACAGAGGCAGGCAGCCATACAAACACAGGCAGACAGCCACACAAACACACAGAGGCAGACAGCCACACAGAGGCAGGCAGTCACACACACACTGAGGCAGACAGTCACACACAGAGGCAGGCGGCCATACACACACAGGCAGACAGCCACACAAACACACACACAGGCAGCCACACACACACACACACACACAGGCAGACAGTCACACACACACACAGGCAGACAGTCACACACACACAGAGGCAGGCGGCCATACACACAGAGGCAGGTGGCCACACACACAGGCAACAACCCCACACACACACACACTGGCAGACAGCCCCCCCACACACACACAGGCAGACAGCCCCCCCAACACACACAGGCAGACAGTCACACACACAGACTCTGGCAGACAGTCACATACACAGACACAGGCAGACTGTTCATTCTGAGGAGTTGAGGCAGTGCAGGAACTTCCTGCTTTCCCTGCAGCAGTTAACTGGCACTTTTAGCTCTGTCCCCGCTGTCAGTTTAGCTCCAGCTCCGCTGCATGGTAAGCTCCGCCCCCGCCGCAATGTTTTTTTTTTAAATTTATAATAATCCCAGCAGGCCATTTGTAAACTGTGCGGCTGCATGGCGCCCCCTGTTCCATGGTGCCCTGTTCGGCCGCACAGCTCGCACACCCCCTGAGGCCGGCCCTGACTGATATCGTCAAGATTGATGGTCTCAGCCATGGAGGTGGAGCCAGGTGAGGTGAGGCGAGACAAGCACATCAATGGAGCAAAGGTAAGTTTAAAAACCTTTTAACACCATTTACTCCAAGCCGGGAATATAGACAGCTCCTCCGGCACTAAAATGTTAGGAATATGTGTTAGTGTTATGTTTAACTGTTTTTACATGATGTATCACTGACACGACTGTACCTGTATATATACTGCAGAATAGGAATACTGCTCCAGATATTAAGAGTGCTGAGTTACAATTTATATACATATAGGCTAGATAGTTTTTTTATCTTCACTCATGCAGAGTAGACGTCCTGTGACTGGAACATGTTTGAGCAGTATGTCAGTGGATGGGAAGTAATCTTTGCAGTATGTGATTACAATAAACATTTCTATATTAGGAGACCAGTAAGCAGTGATCTGAAAAAGTAAGCACATAGAAGACAAAGGGATCCGATCGTGTAAATCTTTAATACAACCAACTTTAAAAAGTACAAACGGTCTCACAAAAAGGTGTTTATGAATTAGTACTATATAATGGACCTCATAACCAGAAGAAGTGTTTGTAGTATCGATATAAGAGCGTTCTCACTTGGGAGCCCTCAGCTGTTCATGGTTCCGCATTGTTTATGTAGTTTCCACCCATTGTCAAGAACTCTTCCTCCTTGTTCTGCATGTTTTGAGAGGTAAACTCACTTCATCAGGATTCTGCAAAACGTGCACAGCAATTCCTGTAACTTCATTTACTGTAGATAACAAAAAATATTATGTATTTTCACCATGCAGAGAAGGAGCATTTTTATTACACCCCCAAAAAGAAAAACCCCAACAGGATGAATGAATAAATGAAATATTAAATTGTGAATTTTTATAATTGTATTAAATGAAAAGTTATACACAACATTTATGCACAAATTTATGTTTTTGTCCTATGTTTGACTGAAACAACACTTCTTTCTTTTATTTCCAGAATGGATGATTTTTTTTTAAATGTAATAAATGACAAATGTTATTTTAAAATGCAAATGTAAAAAAAAATTTTCTTAACATTTTCAGATCAGATTCAGCAATTCTTTATAATGACCGATCTGTACTTGAAAATCATCACGTCAGTGCAGCATATCGCCTTCTGCAGGATGATGAGGAGATGAACATACTATATAACCTCTCAAAGGATGATTGGAGGTAAGATGGTATATAGCTCAACAATAATATGGCTATATTGATGCCATTCAATTAGAAACATTTTACAAATATCACTGAAAAAATATTACAAATATTACTGTAATATATTGATGCCTTTAAATTAGAAAAATATTACATATATTACTGTAATAGCGATATATTAATAATATCAAACATACAAGATCCAGGGCACTCGCTTATTCACTAAACGGCAATATATGAATATATATATATCAAAAGTTCATGTCGATGTTGGAAAGAAGAATAACATTAGATACATTCAAAATATCAATATA